TGAAACCAATATTTAAAGATCCAATATATAATTATATGTATAAACTCAGTTTTACCCAGCAAGTGAAAAACAGAAACCAGAGACTGTATTGACATGTTTGGCGCATTTAATATTCTTCCTTGTCTGTGAAGAAGAAGAAGACAGTCAAACCCTCCATAAATTCTGTCTTGTTTACTTGTACTGTTGCCTTCTTCTGGACTGACTTTTTATTCTTCACTGTTTTTACCTCTTCTTCAAATATTCTTCTTATTATCTTAACCACTCATTATTCTTTTCAAACATGTTTTTTATATTCTAAGCATATACGCTTCTAGAGAGCCGAAAAATTACCCTTTTTTTAAAATGAAAGGTCAATTGCGTTTGTATTTGGTAGCTGAGGCAATTAATATATCGAATATGTTTGTGCTTTCAGTATCTGAAATGCGTTAGCTTTGCAAGGTTCTTCTTCTTGTTGTCTCCCAGTTTGATGAATTCAAAAAATAGATTAAATAATCAAACCTCTTTGATGTAAAATATATATATATATATAAATGGATCTTACAAAGTAATTTGTATTTATTTTTAAAATTTATATAAGTACTATCTTCAATTCTTAATATAAGAGCTTGTTTGACTTTTATTTTGGTTCTAATAATAAAACTCTAATTTATTTTTTCCGAAAGCAGTTTTTGTAATAATGATAGTTTTAGCTAATACACCTGATTAGCAAGAATATGTTAGAAAAGACAATACCTATTTATTACAAATAATTAGCTTAACTAGTTTTTTTAATCTACTCAAATTAGTCAACTAGCTCTTATATTAAAGAGTGAAGGTAGTATTTAATAAAAAAGGAATATATTCTTTCGCTATGATTTCTTGTCATCTTATTTATTTCTTTCGTTAAAAATATTTTTATTAATTCTGATACTTTTGCCTTTAATTTTAAACTACTTTCTTACATATTTTCTAATGAAAAGTATTTTAGTCAGGCAAATTTGAATTTACCTAAAAGACATATTCTAAAACCAAGGACAGATGTTTATGTGAGCTTATTAAACAACATTTGGACTCTTTATATAGTAATTTAGTATATTTTCAAAAAGCTTGGATTCGTTTTCGGCCAATGAAAAAGCATGGATTTTTACTTGGCTAGAACAAAAAGCTTGGATTGAAGAATCGAATTTGCTAAAAATAATATGGTTAGAACAAGATTCGTTTATGTGTATGTACATCAATTATCAATTAATTATAGAATGTAACATGAATTATCGATGATTGATGTTGACGGTAGTTTATGATGTTAAAAAACAACCATTTAAAGAGAATATAATGAAGGCCATTTTGTTTATTTAGTTTTTTATATTCTTTACCACTTGCTTCATTTTTTAATTAAAAAACAAATGTGCAAAGTCATTTTCCAACAGGAATCGAAAAGACTTCAGAGAGTTCTGAGCAAAGTATTTCTCAGATTCACAGTTTTGTTTCCCTTGACAGTTTGACCAATCACAGCTTTGCTTTGATGCCAGATGGAAATATACTAATTTACAAATATAACAATAAATAGTTGCATTATTAATTTTTTAATAAAACAAATCAAATATCCAAGGCTTTTGATAAGTGTCTCTTTCTTTTTTGGTTTATCCGTTTAACCCACTTGTAGAGTGTTTAATTTTATTCCCATATTATCTCATATTCGAATAATTTTCGAATTTTTTATGCTAGTTAATATATGCTTCGTTTCTCTTATTCTCGCACTAAAAATTTTGTTTAATTGATGGCCAATATTTGTCTAATTACTCTTTTGGTCTTATGAGGAATTTTCAGCTTGTTTTACACAGATAAAAGAAGATCTTAAACTGTATTGATTCTCAATTAAAATCTAATAACTTTTTAAATTTACCTTTATTTAATATATACACATTTAAAAAAATTAACTATCTACATTATAATTAATGTATAGCAAAATAGTATATTCATACTAAAAATTTAATAAAATGACTTATAAACATGACTAAGAAAAATCTTCTTACTCTACCTTGTAAATAGAAATAGAGGAGCATATCAAAAGAAGATTTTAGTATAAATCCAATGTTCCATATACCGGACAAAATCGACAAACTGAGGAATAATTAAATAAAACATATATTTTAAAATTATGCTTTCCCTTTATTTCATATGTTTGAACTGGGATTCCTCCCTTGAAACGAAGTTTCCATTATTCTTATATGCTACCTTAGCTGTTTTATGTTTTCTTAATCCCTGCATTAAATATACGAAAAGACAAAATTACACAGAACCCAAAAATGCATTGAGCCAAGCTAAACCGTGGCTCCCAGCCTCCCACAAATCAAAATAAATATATAGATATATGTTGCTTAGTCCTTTAATTTAAAACTTGATAACAATCTTTTTAAATATCATTTTTTTAAATAAAAACGGAGGTCACAAAAGTACAACAAGAGAAAGTCACGCCTTCGTATTAAACAAAACATGTATAAAATTATTGAGTCTACGTCAACTTAGTTTGTGGACTAAATCGCAGGAAGGACGGTGTTGGGATCCACGGTACAATATTACCTCCGGTGCTTAATAATATGAGAACTTATATAAATCAGGAAACAAAATAAAGTCCCTAGTACGTAACCAAAAAAAAAAAGAGAGTCCCTAGCAGTGTCTCATTATTTCTGATTCATTTGATGTTCTTCAAACCATAAAGATTATATTTAGGAGTGTTAAGGTGGAAACTAAATTATAATTTTTAAAATAATTCTACAGTATATGAAGTAAGCAGGTGAGAAAAATTGTCTTAATTTTCATAAAAACACTTTTTAAAAATATCTTTTGCCCGATCCAAATACCCTCATACGTACTTTGCTGGCCATGGCCAAAAGAGAAAAAGATTCCACCACTCACTCAAATGCCGCACACTGATAATTCTTCTCGTTATCATCTTTACTTCCTTTTTTTTTTTTTTCCAGAGAAAAGAAAATGGCCAAGAGATGTAGAGTTAAGATGGTGGACTGAACTTGAATCATATACAAAAAAGCTTGGCTGTGCAGTATTTAGATTAGACGGGTGTTTTCTGGTATAAACTTATTATTTTATCAAGGTATTGAGTTAAGATATCATATCAAATTCTCTTACATACATACTTTTGTTACTCCGATCCCCATTCGATACTTTCTCTAGATATACTCTTTCGGTTTTCAATATAAGATCTTTATACATATTAGTATAACGATTTTATATTTAGAACCGGAGGAGTATATACTTTGGATCCTAATAGATTCTGAATATCAAACATTTTTGTAATGAAAAAATAAAGAGAACTGAGAATGATGTTATAGGGCTGAAAAAACAAAAAAAAAGGTTTGGTGAAAGATCATGGACCTCGCATTAAGAGAGCAGAGAGACGAGAGACGTAGCCATCTCGTATTTTCTTCCTAAGATTGAATTCAAGAGTCGTGAGATGAACATACATGAGAATGACGTTTGGGATTGGCACACTATCTTTGTCAAAACACGCTCTCTCTCTCTCTCTCTCTTCGTCTGTGTCTCAGTACACGGGTTGTCTCTTCAATTAGCTGTACCTGTACGACCCTCTCTACCTACACCTGTACATAAAAGTGCCTTTTCCCTTTGGTGATACTTTCGAACATGATTCATCGTCATCTCTTGGCTCCTGAAAACCATGCCTTCCTCAAACTCTCAAATCACTCGTTAACCTCAACAATATTTACTAAAATATTCACAATCTTTTAGGTTCCCTAACCATATATAAAAGATACAACGCCTGATATTTAAGCAGAGTCTGCAATTAGAAATATTTAGTTTAACGATACTGATGCAAACTCTGGCAATGTAAGACACAGTATTTGGAACGAGCGTGGCCATATATGGATCGGAAAACGATAATGACCTTTTTTTACATGAGAGTGTGAAACGACGTCAAATAAACGCCAAAAGGACCGCAGCCTCACCGTATGTATAATTTAGGGCAAATTTCACTGTAGGACCGCAGAAGACAATTAATCTTAAAGAGCCCCCAAAACTTTCTGAAATCTCACTGCAGGACCAAGGGGCCAATCTGATATTAATTCCACAAACGAAATGACGCCACTACCCTTAGCATCAGGTGAACCAGTCCACATGTGAACGGACTGATTTTACGTGTGAATATATGTATTTCATCTGCAAATTGGCTAGTTCCCCTTGCAAATGCACTTTCCCGCACTTTTTCCCTCACGGACGCATGCATCAGGTGAACCAGTCTACATGTGAACGAACTGATTCCACATGTGAATATATGTATTTATTCTGCAAATTGGCTAATTCCCCTTGCAAATGCGCTCTTCCGCACTTGTTCCTTCACGGACGCATGCATCAAGTGAATCAGTCCACATGTGAACAGACTGATTTCACGTGTGAATATATGTATTTCATCTGCAAATTGGCTAGTTCCCCTTACAAATGCAGCTCCCACACTTGTTTCCTCACGAACGCATGCATCAGATGAACCAGTCCACATGTGAACGGACTGATTCCACGTGTGAACATATGTATTTATTCTGCAAATTGGCTAGTTCTCATTGCAAATGCACTCTCCCGCACTTGTTCCCTCCTACTAGAGGCAGTGGCGTCATTTCATTTGTAGAATTAATATCAGATTGGCCCCTTGGTCCTGCAGTGAGATTTCAGAAAGTTTTGGGGGCTCTTTGAGATTAATTGTCTTCTGCGGTCCTACAGTGAAATTTTCCCTATAATTTAAGGTGGTCCACAAACCTCAGAGCCAGGCTTCCCACACGTTCAGCTTATCATGTCTTGCCACGTGGCTTGCGTCTGTGTTACATGGGGTCCTCTCCTTCGCCCCACTTAGCCATGCTTCTTCCCCACCCATATGGCAGCAAGTTTTGATGCCTTGTTACGCTGCTACCGACTACGACAAGTGCCGTCACTGTGTAAAAATATTTGGTTGCCTTCTCAAGTTGAAAAATCCTTTCTTTTTTTCTTTTCGCTTTTGAATTTTTCTTTTCCTTCTTCTGGGTTGGCTTTTTAATTTATTGGGGTTCATTATGACGTTGTCTTTCTCCTTCCTACCTCAACAAACAAACCCGTAGCTTCCACCCCTTTTTCCCCTTTTCCTTTTCCTTGTCTGCAATGGAGATGAGGATCTGAGGCAGGAGATATTTATGGTATGGGCGCGTGTGCTTCAACGCATCAGGGCTGTGTGGGAGGGAGGTTGAGTTCCTCCAAGAAGAAGACTCGCAAAAGAAGAAGAGATGGATTCAGAAGAAGAGTGTCATCTCGGCTAGCCAAAGGATCATTGGACAAACCTGACGTGCCTGGCTTACCTGATCATCGCTCCTTCGCCAACCCCACTCTCCAAGGTTCATTTCTTTCTTCGCACTCCATTTTCTGGCAAAATGATTCTCAGCTGAAACCTTCAAAGCTTGTCAATTGCGTTCCAATATTGGAATTCCTTAATGTTTTTACTGTTCTGTTGAAGAAATTTGCTGATACTGTTTCATGTCTCTGCATGGTTGCAGTGTAAGCTCAGGCATAGCAGGGGAGTTCATCTCCCTCTGCTCTGAGTCTCGGCATGTAATGCAATGTTTAATCACTGTGGAAAACTAACGCTAATTTATTTCTTTAGGAGTTAAACAGTTGAATAACATAGATAGATACGGTTTTGATAATTGATACCGGTATAGTGTTTAACCTAAGCTCTGAAGGTTGCGGCATTTTTGTTTGAGTCATAATGATGGATAAATAGAATCTAATTTACTGTAAGGCTGAAGTTAGATGAGATTTTATCATAAAAGCTTGAGCTGAAACAGAAATTTAATGAGCTAATTTTATTCAGAACTTGGAAGTAACGTCAACATCTGTGATGGATATTATGCTCAGGAACTTCATTTCCATGAAAATCTGAGCCAGAGTAATCTGGAAATAGCTTGTGGTCCCTATTGTCTGTATCATTGCTTACTATAAATAACGCTAAGAGCTTTCATTTTCCTCTTTATATGAGGTCAGGGAGGCGTTGAAATCCAATTATTGGAATGAAGAAGGGTAAAACAAGGCTATGGGTAGATTAGTAATATTGAAACTTTAGTTCACAGTAATGTCTCTGAATAAGTGGCCTTGAAGGATTTGTTCCACCAGTTGGTTGTTGCATTTACTTTCTCTTTCTTTAGTTGCTCTTTTGATCAACGTATCTGTCTACGTACCAATTAGTTTGGATTTTATAATAATCCTTACTCTTGCTTTCCCTTGATGGAATACTTATGTGTACCACCAGGAAGTACTGAGGAGGCATGGTTTGACTCATCTGCAATATTTGACTCTGACTGTGATGATGACTACAAAAGTGTTCCTGATGGTATGATTTTGAAAAATTTCCAATTAATTACCTGTGGATTTTTACCTGTTTGATGGATCAGAAATATTTACCTATGAAAATGGACAATCACGTATAATTTTTATCTTGTAGATGTATCGCTGAATGGGACTGAAGTAGGAACCATATCTGGTTTTCAATTGAGAGATGGCAGCCATGGAGGTTCAACTGATCAGGTTCAGAAACTGGGGGATTTATCAGAAGCATCCGGAACTTCTAATGTTCGGATTATTAGTTCAGATGACAATGATTCGCATTGTAAACGTGATGGAAATATGAATGAAGTAAATCAACCTGTATTTCTTGATGAAATCTCCTCAGTGGATGCTAACTCCAACAAGGATGATGGACTTATGGACCACTGTGGGATTCTTCCCAACAATTGTCTGCCCTGTCTTGCATCGACCATTCCTTCCACTGAAAAAAGGAGATCATCGAGTTCTAGTCCTCCTAGTACAAGGAAAAAGGCTCCTACAAAACTACCCTTTAAATGGAAAGAAGGTCTTGGCAATGCTAACCTACGTGAGTTAAAATTCTCAGAACCGCAACTTTTCATTACTGGTCATTGTTGCATTCATAGCTTGCCACAACATTGCATGTAGGAGACTTTCTTTTCAGTCTATATCTTCAAGTCATTGTTTGCCTTTAAAGTTTCCTGCAGTAACTGAAAGAAAATTTGTTTTCCATATGTGCCCAAAATGGATAATTAAATGATTTCATTAGTATGAAAATGCAATATGAGGTTGTCAAATGAAACTGATCTGTTCTCGATAGAGTGTCAGAAGCTTCTGATATTTTAAGCTCTCTTTATTAGATTCTGGTCTCTATTCATTTTCATTGGTATCATTCTTGTCTCTTAACAAGTGATGTTAGTGGACTAGATTTTTCTGAAGAAAGGTTTTAATGGATCAATAAAGAGTATTATAATGTTTCTAATTCATCTGTCTGTTCTATTTCTGGTCTTCAGTTTCCTCCAAGACACTTCTGCAAAGACCAATAGCAGGTTCGCAGGTACCCTTCTGTCCAGTGGACAAGAAAATGCTTGACTGTTGGTCACACATCGACCCAAGCACGTTCAAAGTACGAGGAGTGAATTATTTCAAGTAAGCATCGTTAACTATAGTTTCTTTCGTTTTTTTTCACTTCCCTGCCCTGCATCATATGTAAACAAATCAGTGAAGGGTATAAACTGTGCAATCTGTGGTAAAATTACGTTTCACCTGATTATTGATGTTGCTCATGGCAGGGATAAGAAGAAGGACTTTGCTCCCAACTTTTCTGCATATTATCCATTTGGTGTTGATGTATTTTTATCCCCACGAAAGGTGCACCATATAGCTCGGTTTGTGGACCTTCCGGCCATGAATTCTTCTGCTAAACTTCCAACTATACTTGTTGTCAACGTTCAGGTGCACCATTTCATCTAAATTTCTCTTATATTTTTATTCCTATGAATTGTTTATATTCGTATAGAAAACCCTTCGTTTCATTCTGAAACTCATGTTCTGTGGATTTCTTCAGATTCCACTGTATCCTACCACGCTTTTTCAAGGTGAAATTGATGGGGAAGGAATGAGTTTTGTGTTGTACTTTAAGCTTTCTAACAGTTACTCGAAGGAACTTCCACCTGCTTTCCAAGAAAACATCAGAGTATGTCTCAAAGTCTCAGTTTCTTTCGTTCTTTCTTAACCTTCTAACAACTGTGTACTGATGAGATGGGAATGCTGAACCTGAATTCCATCCATGCCCTTTTGTAGAGATTAATGGATGATGAAGTTGAGAAGGTGAAGGGCTTCCCCGTAGACACAATTGCACCCTTCCGAGAAAGGTTGAAAATTTTAGGCCGTGTTGCCAACGTGGAAGATCTTCATTTGAGTGCAGCAGAACGAAAGCTTATGCAGGCTTATAATGAGAAACCTGTTCTTTCTCGTCCTCAGCATGAGTTTTACACGGTATGCCTTTATTGACCCATTATAATTTTCTCCAACTAATATAATTTTCTCTGACTGTCCTTAAGAATATCTATAACAGACCTAGATAATGCTTTGTGTATTGTTTTGTTTTTGAAACTACATGTTTCACCGGTTAATTTTAATTTAACAGTTCATTCTCACAAGAGGATAAAGCAAAAGACACAGAAAGGAAACTGTTTTCCTAGTTGAAGACGTGACAAAAATCTGAACAAGTAAAATTCAAGTTACTATTTTTTGTGTGTGGGCTCCTTATCCTTGTTTGATTGGCAGTATCTTTTGTGGATTCTTTATGACGCCTTTAAGTTTGGCCCGCAAATTAAAGTGGTGTCATTTCCCTACTAAAGACAGACATAGACCCACACACACGCGTGGTACTTTAACTGTTGCTGTCGCTGTTTTTTGAATCAGCTAACCCAGATATGAAATTTTTGCAGGGAGAAAATTACTTTGAGATTGATTTGGATATGCATAGATTCAGTTATATCTCCAGAAAAGGCTTTGAAGCTTTCCTAGACAGATTAACGATCTGCATTCTAGACGTTGGTCTCACAATTCAGGTAGCTAACTAGTTTTCCGGCTCTGAAGTTTGCGGCAGAAAAAATGTTTGACATGGATTAATTTGTGTTTTTGATGAACCTAAATCATCTTTAAGTCTCATGATAATCGTGATTAAATAACAGGGGAACAAACCGGAGGAGCTACCAGAGCAGATCTTATGTTGTATTAGACTAAACGGAATTGACTACAAGAGATATCAGCAACTTGGAGTAACTCAAGATCATCTAATGTAAACTTCAACAACGTTTGAATCCCAGAGTTGTGGTCCATTAAAAGAAAATCATGTTTTGAAAATGCATTTGTTTTCATTCGTGTTCGTTGGTAGAAAAAATCCTGTCATCTTTCAATTATAGAGAATCCAAGCGTGTGATGATGGGATGGCTGCTGATATTACGGTCAAGGAGGGTCCATGCCTTCAACTACTTCAAACTTATTGTTAGTTATGAATTAATTCATTTGGGTAGGGTTATAAAAAAGAAAAGTTTTTTGCCTGGACGGGTTTCTCCTTTGTCTTGCTCGTCAAACTTGGATCCCAGAAGTTAACCTCTTTTTAGCAGTTCGACGCGTTACAGTGTGAAAGCAACTTAATAAAAACATCGTGCATTGTCGATACAGTAATCTTCGACCCATTAACCAAATATCATCAAATTAACCAAAGATATAATTACAGAAGTTCTCTCCATTCTGCAAGGGGAAAAAAGTGGATGTTCAACTTCCTAATTTTGCGCGACAAATAAACCAAATCAAAATGTTTCTGGATAATTTAAACATGATGGTTCATTACAAATCAATCCAACCCTTAAGTTTTCGTTCCAATGTTATCTGACAATTTCTGGCAAGGAAAGAGAAAAACCATCCGGCAATTCTCAGGTCTTACAGGGAACGAGAGGCCTCCCACATAAGCCTTTGTTGCCAGAATAAGAAGTCTCGGGAAAGTCAATCAGAGGTTTGCCCTCTGGAATTTCCCCTTCAAGAGAATTGTCTGATAAATTCAGTTCTTTCAGGTTTCTCAGGTTCAGAAATCCACTGGGTATGTTGCCTGTAAAGTGATTCTTCTGCAGCTTCAATCTCTCTAACGAGGTTAGATTTGCCAATATCTCCGGCAAGTTGGAGGCTAAATCGTTGAAGCTCAAATCCAAACTTTGAATTGATTTCAAACTCCCAATAGAACTTGGTAATCTGCCTCTCAGAATGTTGTGAGACAAATTCAGAAACTGAATGTCACGTTGCCCTCCCACGCCAATATCTTCAATCCCACTTGAGAAGTTGTTGTCAGAAAGATCAATGTATGTCAGCGATCCCCCAGAAACCCCTTGTGCTTCAAAAACTCGATTCACGGATCCTGTTAGCTTATTTGAGTGAAGATCAAGAACACCCAGATCGTTCAAGTTTGAAATAGAATCAGGGATGTTTGAATCAAGTGAATTCCTTGAGAGATTTAGCAAGTATAGCTGGTCCAGGGTTCCAATCCAGGAGGGTATGGCTCCACTGAGATAGTTCATTGATAAGTCCAATTCCTGAATTGGACTATCGGCTGTTTGCAAAAAGTCCGGAATACGACCCCTGATTCCAGAACCTGCCAAGTAAATACGAGAAAGCGATGGCATATTTGCAAGCCATTCTGGGATGGAAGAGAGGTTCAGATGATTGAAAGACAGATCAAGGGTTTGCACATTTTGAAGGGATGACATCTCTTGAGGCAATGGTCCTTCAATTAGATTATTGGAAATGTTAAACATTATAAGCTCAGAGAGTTGTCCTATTGATTTTGGGATCTGGCCAGATAAGAAGTTGTCACTGAGATAAAGTTCTGTCAGAGATTGCAAATTGCTCAAACTAGAAGGTATTTCTCCTTCAAGCTTGTTGTTTGAGAGCGAAACTCTCTGGAGGGAAACTAGATAGCCAAAACTGGAAGGTATATTCCCATTGAGATGGTTACTATGGAGCCTTAAGAATTTCAGATAAGGCATTTCACCAGATCTTGAGGGAAATGGGATGTTCCCCTCGAGAAGGTTGGTGTCCACGTATAAAAGTGAAATGGCAGTTAAATTGGTTAGTGAAGCAGGTATATTGCCACTTAAAAGATTGTTAGAAAGATCAAGCTTCTCCAGAGCTTGCATCTGACCGATCCTATCTGGTATATGACCAGTTAAAGAATTGCCATGAACATCCAATTCCTCTAAGCTAGTCAAATTACCAAGTGAGTCCGGCATTATACCTGAAAAATGATTCGTATAAAGCAGCAACCTTTTGAGATTTTTCAGGCTTCCCAGGGTTGAAGGGATTGACCCAGATAACCCATTTTCATGCAAAGCCAGTTCTTGAAGATTTGACAACTCACCAATGCTTTCTGGTACTGGACCAGTCAAGTTGTTGCCGTAAAGGCGGAGCTTTTGGAGATTTTGCAAGTGGACACCCACTGTTTGTGGAATTGTCCCACTGAGACCAGCTAAACCACCAAGATCTAAGACTTTAAGAGAGGTAAGAAGCGTTATGGAAGGAGAAAGCAAGCCCTTCATCTGGGTTTGAGACAAATCATCACCTGTGGAAATGAATCCTGCGAGGTTTATCTCACTGACTCTGGAGGTTGCATTTTCACAGACAACACCTTCCCATTGGCAACAGTTGTGGCCAACCCACGTTGCTAGGCGTCCAGAAGTGTCCATTTGAATCCCATTCTTGAAACCCATTAAACCTTCCAAGTCATTGGCATTGCAAGCTTCCGTACTTCCTCTCACGCTTCCACTTGTGATTATAATAAACAGAGTAACTATAAACCGTATCAACTGATACTTCATTTTGTGCTAGCAAATGGAGTTGCTCTATCTGAAAAGGAACTAATGGATTTTGGTTTGTGTTTCATTCTGACGAATAGTTCCAATAGATAAGAACAAAACAACCAGCATTGCTCAGAAACGTACAACTTTTTTCTTTTTGCTCATCTTTTTATTCTCCTTTTAAAGTTTTGACGCTCAAAAGCATGCTGTCCCTTACTCATGATGCCTTTAATAATGTTTAGTGTCAAGGAATTCAAAGAATGGGCCATTTGATAATTATCTGGATAAGCGCCACAAATCTCGTCTCCCCACAGTGTTTTTGATACCCCGTGTGCGCAGGTGCACTTTCTCTGTTGGCAGTTATTGTCACGGAATCTTTTTTGCCCGATTGTCAAGGATCGGTTGAAAATTTCATTATACTTTTTTTTTAAAAAAATTGAAGTACTATTTGAGATGTTAAAATTTTTTATCCTTTTTTAATATCTTTGGATGTGCTCAGGCAGACCAGGAGCTTATCTTTTGAGAGTAACGAAAATTTGAGATGCATAGAGCAATAGTCCCGTGCGAATAAAATTTCTTGTCCAAAAGTCATAGGATTCGTTTCAGTTTTGGAATCTTATAAGCAGTTCAAGGACCACTTCGAAGTTGAGGGGTCTTCCACAGCAAACAAACACCATTTCGAAGCTGGTGTGCCATGACTGGATAGTTGACCTTGGAATTCAAGGGCAAAGCTAGAGGTGAGAATCAGGATCGGCCCGGCCCTCCAGGCTTAAAAGGGCTGGCCTTCCAGGACTGAAATTTTAAAAATACCCTAATTTGCTAGGTCCGGCCCTTAAGTTATAGGACTCGGAGCCGACCCGCCGGCTTTTGACCCGTTTAAAAAAAAAACTATTTTTTATATTTATCATATTTTTTATAAAAAAATAAAAATAAACCAATAAAATTATTAATAAAAGACATAAATATGAATAAAATTAAGTCACAAATATAAAATATCATCATATATAAATATCCATCAACATTCAAGAACATCTAAAATATTTATTAATAAGATAACATCCAAAAGTTTTATCTATAGTGCAATTGTGTAATAAATAAACACTATCATTAATATTTTGAAATTTCATCATCACTATAATTAATTACTCTTCTTCATAAGTATGCTTTTTTTTTTTATAACAAAAATATCAAGTTTTTCTTCTTTATAGAAATTTTACTTTTAAATTTTGCAATCTAGCTATTATTTTACTTTAATGTGAGAAACATTGTTGTTAAAACTCATGAATTTCTAATTCAAATTATAGAATCATAAGTTATATAAGTATAAAAATACTCTATTGTCAAATATATATATAGTTTAAAAATATCAACACATATAATATAAATCAAATTATTATTAAAGTCCAAATTAACCTATTTTTTAAAAATTTAATTTGATAAATTATTTCTAAAATTAAATTAAATTTTAAAATGATAATAATAACTAAATATTTGAAATATTATTAACAATGTAAAAAATTAATAACATTAGAATTATATAACAAATTTTAAAAACAAAAAAAATTATAAATGGGCTTAAACGGGCCGGCCTGCGGCCCACGGCTCTCCAGAATTTATTTTCCATTTAAAAGGAAAAATATCAAGCCCGGCCCTTATAATTTCAGAATCTAAACGGACTCGGCCCGTTTTCCCGACTCTAAGCAAAGCTTTAAATGGTCACCCTTTTTTTGTGGTGAGGGTGGGGGGAGTGGTTCTGTGGTTGGTTGGAGTGGCATCAACTTGCCGTATAAAAAGAAAATAAATTGGAATTTTAAGAAGCACACTTAATAGAAGAGGTAGGTTTGACCCTTCAATACCCTTTCGAGTCATTTGCTTGGACAAAAATATTGGGCTAGAAACCTGAGCATTTAGATCAACTAATCAGAGTTGTTTTGTCTTAATCATGGGTCTTGAGTTCGAGGCGTGGGAACACAATAGCACATGGGGCTAGGGTCTCCCCTATACAAGGCTAATAGAACCCGAATCTGAATTAATTCGGGCCTGTTGAGTTTCCCGTGAATAAAGACTGACTTGAGATATCGGGTGCAAAAATCCCCCCAAAAAAAATACTGGACCAGAAAAGCTCAGTATCCAGATTCTCCGAATACTAGTGGTTTAACACCCAAAAAATATATATATATATATATATATAGATAGATATATAGATATATATAAAAGAGGGGATTGGCTTCTCTCCACTCCCTTCTCCATCCCCTCCCGTCCTTTACCTAGAAAATGACCTCGCATCATGTGTGAAGTGCAATATAATGCTCCATTCACTGCTCTCATTCATTTGCATAAGCGAGTAAGCGACGCACAACGAAACGTACGAGTGTGCAAATAACCATAAATTAAGCATCACTTTTCCCAAGCAATCCGTAATACTCCTGATGTTCTAAATATAAGACCCTTTTCGTAATGTAAATTATACTATAAAAGAGGTCTTATATTTAGAATCGGAAGAGTAGAAAATAATTATATCATAATATGATTATTAATAAATTCTTATATAATTTTAATAACATTCGTATTTACCAATCTTTTAATTAAAAGTTTAATAATAAAAATATAAATAGCTATATACTATATATTATTTTCCCATGTGTTTTTAATATGAGAACTAGGTAACTAATGTATAGATATTAAAAAATTAATTAAGTTAACTAATTAAAAATGTGTGGTGGTCATCCTAAAATATTATTTTTAAACATCATTTACATTGAACTATCATTCAATAAGAATAGTTTAAGAAAAAGAAGTTAAAAATTTAGAAGATAAAATAGACTAGTTCATATATTTTGAATTAAAATAAATACTTTTAATATTTATAAGCTAGTCATCTGGTTCCTATATTAAAAACGGGAGGGAGAGTAATATATAGTATATAACTATTTATATTTTTACAATTAAACTTTTAATTAACAGATGGTAAATACAAATCTTAATAAAATTGTAGACGTTTCACTGTGCGCTGCTTATGCAAATGAATGAGACCAGCAAACGGAGCATTATATTACGCATGATGCGACGTAAAAGAGGGCAGCGAATGGAGAAGGCAGCAGATAGAAGCCAATAAAAAAAAGAAAAGAAAAAAAAGGCAGGCTCCTGCATTAGGGAGAAATAAACAAAACAGACAAAAGCGATGAAACTAGACAACAATTTGATATTACCTCACGACCTATTTGTAAGAAATAAATTATAGTTAAATATAAGCTGTTTTTTTTTTTCTATAAATAAGCCTAAAAGTAGTTCTAACTTACTTCTTGGCAACTTTGATAGTTCTTGTTACCAATTATTAGATATTATATTGAAACAATAAACAGCATTATTCACGATTTTTGGACAATACTTGTTAGAGATTTTATATTTCATACTCATCTCCTCCTCCTCGTCCTTCTATTTATTTATTTTGGGTTTGAGAGACATTTTGACATCTTACAACTTGAAATTCACATGCTGAGTTTAAAAAGGGACCAATTGTAAGAGTTGGCAATGGTTAATGAAACTGGCTCTTTCTTTTAATAGTTACTACCTGCGGAATGCTATGTCCTATAGTTATAGAGCCCTTTCTCCCCTCGCTCTCGTCTATGATGTCAAAGTTGTAGAAGGTGGTGGAATGTTAACCGTTGTAAAGTACGAAACTTGATTCCATGTTAGAAGTATGAGATTCTGAGGTGGAGTTCAAAATAACTCTGCATTTTCTAACCTTGTGAATTAATCAATCGATTCTGTTTTCTTCAGTTCAATATTCAAACTTGTGTTTATGGGGTTCTCAAAAGTGATACGATGCCACTGAGGTAATGCTTCGAACATGAACCTGTAGTTTTAGGTACAGAGCGTGCTGACCACCAGCTTCACTAATATCTAATAGATATGTGAAAGACTTCTTCACAAAGGGTTTCTCTGTTAATGAATAGAGATCAATGGGTTGGAACCCTATTGCCTATTCCTTAATTTTAACTTGCTGCATCACAAATTCAATACCGATGTTAACCCACAAGGCTTTCTCCTTCACAAGCTATTCAATAACCTTTATGATCTGAACAGAAATTTAATGTAACATATGGCCATTCTATGATACATTTCAGAAAAGATTAATCCCCTTTTGGAGCTCATTGATTGCAGAACTTGTCTGATGTCAGAGGAAGTAACAGTTTTACACACTTTTGCCTCCCAGTGAGATCAGAAATTGACGGCCTAAATTTTTAAGTAATAAATTGGTACATAATAATATATTCCCCCAGAATCTTGTAAATCCCAAGGATAACGAAGTAGTGAAGCCTCAAAAGTTTCATTTCTTACTTGGACCATCAGGTTGACTTGAAGTTCGTCATCTTCCATATTAAGTTACAAGAAGAACCCAACCACAGACCAAGCCATAAAGACCAACAGCCAAGCAACCCCTGAAACAAAATAACCAAAACAATCTCAGGGTTAAGTTATGCAATTGACACGTTGGGAAGAACGGGAGGTAAAGTTGCATACCACTTCTAAATCCAACATCATAATGTGCTGCAAATAAGCAATGTGGGGTTGTGTTAATCCCATTAGGACAGTAGCAAAAAAATGAATTCAAATCTCCAGTGTACCCACATATTCCGTTGCTTCTTTGACAAGCAATACATGAGCTGGGATAATTATCTGTCATACTAAATTTATACTACCTCCAATCTTAATCATAAGACCTTGTTTGTAGTTTAGAAACGAGGTCTTATAATTAAAACCAGAGGTAGTACTTCAGAGCTATTCCGCATTTCCACTTGAAAGGATTGGATTTCTCTCCATTGAGGCTGTAAAACCCTAAATATGAACTGCATTGTAGTTTCTGCAAATCCATTTCAAAAGATGGCCCAAGATTGACTGGTGTGTAAACGCAGCACGTAGAGCTGGGCTGGTTAGTACTGAAGGTATTAATAAGGCTGCATGAATTCAGAAGACTGCAACTTGGTGTTCCTTGATCACAGAGAGGCTTAGAACTGTGAATAGATGATGAATTTTTGGAAAAGCCTAGTAAAGCAACGTGAAGGGTGCATCCCAATCTAAGCCAAAGCCCTTGCTGGGAACAGCCCAGAGCAAGTTGACATGGTAGGATCTGAGATACATATGACTTGTCTGTAGTAGTCTATTGAGGTTACAAGATAAGACCCTGTGTGAGTGGTGAAGGACAGCCTTTGTTGGTTGCTTGTGGTTGGAAACGAGGGTCGCCACAACCAGAGCAACTGCCAAATGGGTACAGAAGAACCTCATTGCCACATGTTTTGTGGCAGATTTGAGCAGAGGTCAAATTGGCAAGAAACCGGAAGAAGAAAATGGAGAGAAGAGAAATTGAAGCATACCTAGCTTCCATTGATTCTCTAGAGGAAAGATTGGAAAGAGATGAAGCAGGAAGAATAAGAGGTTGGCTAAAAAGTTTGGTGCTGATATCATTTATACTGCTGAATCAAAGAGCTGGCTAGATGAAAATTTCCTTTTTGGGGAGTGAAAATGAAGAAGAGGTCTTTTCTGTTCTATACAAGTGGCATTCTAGTATTCTGGTTTTTTCAGTCGAGGAATGAGCTTTAACCGTCCTGTCCACCTCACGGTTCGGGAATGGTAATGAATAAGGTATATAAAGGAAATGTTTGGATAGAAACCAAACCATGGTTTTAAAAGTGCTTTTACGGATTATGAAGTAAATATGTGAAGGAAGTTACCTCGTTTTGCGGAAAAGTACTTCTGAAACCACGGTTTTGGAGCACCCAAACAGGTCCAAAATAGGGCAAAAGAGCAAATTAATCACGTCACATCTCAAATGAAGACATCCAAGTCTCATTTAGTGACGGACCAACAGATTCGTACGCTCTGAGTTCCTTTTTTATTTGATTTTACTTTATTACTTAATTTAGTCCTTTTAAGAAGTTTGTGCTTGGCAATTGGCATAGAATTCAAGGTTTTTTTTTTTTTACCAGAACAATTCTAAGTTTGTGTTTTTTACATAAAGTGCATGTTTTTATTCATTATTATGCTTAAAAAGAGCCTGACGAAAAGAAAAACTTGACCGATTATTCCTAATATGCACACATATATATTGATTTTTTCCAATTAAAAACACTTAAATCTTTTGTCATTTTTGTGCCTGTTTGTTTCAGTTTATACGACAAGATTGGTTTTTTTTTTTAAATGAAAAGCACTTTTGAGAAATTTTGGTAACTTGAAAAAATTACTTTAAATGGCTACTATATATAAGAGAGAGTGCTTGTAAAAATACGAATATACACGAAGACATCATAAAATCTTAAAATTGTTAAATCCTAATAACTATTTTTCATAATAATAGCCAAGTATAAACTAAATTATATTTTTCATAAAATTTGTAAACGGTTTAAAAATCACTTATTTTTGGGTTGATATTTCTTTCTATGTATTAGGCCGTCTTGGGCTAGGTTAGCTAACCCATGAGTATAGGCTTCAAGTTAAGTTTGGCCCTTTGTTGTTATTACAAAAATATTTGAAAATATTAAATGAACTATTAAATACTTTAAAGTACTAGATACACATAAAAAAATGTTTCAGCATGCTATATGAAGATAAAACACCCAACAATTGAACAAAGCATTCCTCTGCATTTTAAATAATAAACTGTAACAAAACACTCTTGAAACAACGAAAATATTACTCTACCAGGGTCATAATTAAGCTATATAATCCTACGAGTAAATTTAATTTCTCTTTCAATCTCTACTATATATACTTGTTTAAAGGAACATTACTGCCAGGAAATAAAAAGATGAATGTTGCATTAGTTTTGCATCACAATAAGTAAAATCCAACCTTCCCATCTGCACAAGTGGTCTATTGGTAGAACAGTACCCCGTCACGGTACAGACCCGGGTTCGATTGTTATTTTTTGGTGATGTAATTTCAGCTTTTTCTTTTTTGGTAAGTGCAATAACTTCATCATAGGAATACGCAAAAAAATAAAAGATATACAAATATTATACTGGTGCTTTGGTGTTCCCCTCCAATCACTTCAAAGTGTCACTACTAACGAAGGAGCCAAGTACAGGCTGTCCATCCAGCTGCCTTCCATCTCGTTCACCTACCATTCACTCCCTTCTCAGTTCTCACACTATGCCGCATGCACCCAAAAGGCCACACCTGCTAAACCCCACCAAACCCCTTTCTCATTTTTCACTATCACTCTTGTGTGTGTGTACATATATATATATATAACATATATACACAACTCCTCCAAGAACCTGCGCCATTATTGCAACTGAACACATAGATCTCAAATCTAAGAAGAAGCACTCATATCATCATCATGTCGAAGGGAGAGGAAGCAGTGAAGGTTCTGGGTGTATGGTACAGCCCGTTTGTGATGAGGGTTCGCATTTCTCTGAATATTAAGTCAGTCAAGTATAATTTCCTTGAAGAGAATCTGGGAGACAAGAGCCAGCTTCTGCTTCAGTCCAATCCTGTTCACAAGAAAGTCCCTGTCCTTATCCATGAAGATAAGCCTGTTTGTGAGTCACTCATCATTGTTGAGCACGTCGACCAAGTCTGGTCTTCTGCTCCTTCTATTCTTCCCTCTCATCCTTATGATCGTGCCATTGCTCGTTTCTGGGCTGCCTATATTGACCACAAGGTACGTATATATGTACATATAATATGTGCAGTAGTATTCTTCGTATCAGTTTAATATGTACAGTATCTCAAGTATACGTCGTATCTTATATATATAGTCTTAACGCATCAGATTATATTCGAGTGTGCGTGTATAATTGTTGTATAATTAACTGCTTGGGTATTTGCTCGTGTTATTAGTCCCACATTGAGAGTTTCACAAGTATTGTGTGGTTTATAGGTTCAAAGGGTACTCTCTTCTAATATGCTCGTCTTTTGGGATTAGACTCTTTCTTTAGATTTATGCTCATCATATTAGTGCTTTCATTAAGAGAATGTCATGGAGTTCCAGGGACTCTCCCTCCTAATAGGCTAATTTTTTGAGACTGGATTTTCTTCTTCCGCTTGCGCTTATACTCATCCCAGCTCCCAAGTCACTGTAGTGTTTATTCGTTTTGTGCAGTCGGGAATGTCTTGTACTGTACGGGAATAAAATTTGGTGGATCAGTTAATTAAATTAAGCATAGATATTTTGCATATTATTAACTTGGGAACGATCAGTTTATACTTTATACATACATATATACATATTCATGCATATATTGTATTTCAAAATAAGTGTTACAATAATTTTATTAATTAGTTTAATGTGTGCCACTATATATATGCAGTGGTACCCAGCCTTCAAAGGCATTGCTGGAGCGAAGGGAGAGAAAGAGATAAAGGTTCTGATGCGGGAAGTGGATGAAGGACTAGCTTTGCTAGAGGATGCATACAACAATATCAGCAAAGGCAAGCCCTTCTTCGGCGGCGACCGTATTGGGTACCTTGATATTGCATTTGGCTGCTTCTTGGGGTGGATAAGGGTGACGGAGACGGTCACCGGCGCGGAGTTGATCAGCGAGGCCAAGACGCCGGGCCTGGCGAAATGGGCTAAAAAGTTTTGGGAAGATGATGCGGTGAGACCTGTTATGCCAGAGACAGAGAAACTTGTCGAGTTCTTTCATGTTGTTCGTACAAAATATGGCGGTTCTGCTTGAATATTATAATTCCTAGTATCTTTCTTGAGGGCAGCGTTGGAAATATTGAAAGTAATGTATGACGGCAATTTCAGTAATTTGGGTCAAGGACCTTTTGGATGCCTCAAAACCATGGTTTGGGAGGCAAAATCATGGTTTGGGTGAGATGTCACTCAAACAACATCAATTTTGGAGAAATAATCCGCAACTATGATTTTGGAACCTAAAATCATGGTTTCAGGAGAAGTGAATCTATTCTGCTTCTGGTTTAAATTGGATAATATGATTATGCCTGTCAGAGTAGATTTTAACAATAATATGATTTTAACACCTCTCAATTATTTTTTTATAAACACATTTAATCTTATATCTTATAAATATATATACACATTAATTATTTATTAATTATATTATCTTATGTATTATTAATTATGTTGGTAAAAAATATATTATTAACAATTTTATTCCTTCAAATTAAAATATATCATAAAATCTATCTTTTATATAATTATCATATTAACTTATGTTTTTTTTAGTAATTTATATATATATAAAGTATTTCTGATAACAATTATCCAAATACTCTCACTTCTCAGAATCATTTTTTCACAAAATTTATTCTTCAGAAATTATTCTTCAAATCATGAATTGGGTTCATCCAAACACTCTTTTAATTTGATTTGGTAGGTTGTAGGGCGGTTTAGCCTTGCCTTACCTAACCCCTTTAAACTGCTACTATATTGGAGCGTTTGGACGTTCTTCTCAAGTTTAATCATTAACATCCTTCAAACAAGGTTGAAAGGTTGTTTGTTCAAGAGTGAAATGTGAAGTGCAAGAGTGAGTCAAAAGCTTTTAATTTTTTAATTAAAGAAATATGTAAGAATTAATTGTCTAGAATTATAAACGAAATCAAAACTGCTATATTCTATTTAAAGTACTGAATTTACCTAAAAAAAATATTTTAAAATAATAAATGAATTAAAAAATATTTTAGATTGTTAGATGTACTTGAAAAAATATTTGAAGATCTTGGATGCATCTTATGCCTTTGTTAACAAAGATAAATATTTTCTGTTTTTGTCTCCTTAAATTATTTTTAAAAAATAAAAAACATTACATAAAAATGGTGTATGACATGATTCTAATTTTTTATTTTTCCTTCTAATTTAAAAAAAAGTATGACATTTGAAGTGGTACATTTCATTTTCGGGAAAAAAAAAATCGGACTTGCTTACAAAGAAGTTGCTAGGCTATATGTAGATGAAACACATAACAAAGCATTCCCCTATACACTTTAAATAATAAACTGCAACAAAACATACTCTTGAAACAGCGAAATATTTACTCTACCAGGGCCATATAATCTCATGAGTATAATTTAAATTCTCCTTCAATCTTTATGATATGCTATAGTTTAAAGGATAGAGACTACATTCTTGGTCCAAAAAAAAAAAAAAAAGGATAGAGACTACATTATAGAGTTCAGATACCGATGGTTCCATTACTGCATGGAAATTAGAAGATGAATCTCGCGACGACCCAAAACGACTGGAAAAATGGTCGGTCATTTCACATCTCGCACCAGTGGTCTAGTGGTAGAATAGTACCCTGCCACGGTACAGACCCGGGTTCGATTCCCGGCTGGTGCATGTTAAAGGGTCCTTTTCAAAAAACTGTTTTGTGTAAAATCTAGTAGCTCGGAATACGCAAAAAGATAAAATATCTACAAGTTATATAGTGCTTTGGCGTTTCCCCTTAGTTACTTCATACCAATGGCACTATTAACGAAGGGGCCAGGTGCAGCTCATGCCATCTAACCCCCATTCACCTACCATTCATTCCGTCCCTTCTCACAGCATGCGGCATGAAACAGCCTGCTCAACCAAACCAAACGCTTCCTAATTTTTCACTCTCCCTCTTGTATTTATGTATAGCATCCTCCCAGAACCTGCGTCATTATCGTAACTTAACACAGAGATCTCAAATCGAAGAAGAAGAAGAAGAAGAACTCATATCATCATGCCGGAGGGAGAGGAAGCAGTGAAGGTTCTGGGTGTATGGGCGAGTCCGTTTGTGATGAGGGCTCGCGTTGCTCTGAATATGAAGTCAGTCAAGTATGAGTTCCTTCAAGAGAATCTGGGATCCAAGAGCCAGCTTCTGCTTCAGTCCAATCCTGTTCACAAGAAAGTCCCTGTTCTGATCCATGAACATAAGCCTGTATGCGAGTCTCTCATTATTGTTGAGTACGTCGACCAAGTCTTCTCTTCTGGTCCTTCTATTCTTCCTTCTGATCCCTACGATCGCGCCATTGCTCGTTTCTGGGCTGCCTATCTCGACGACAAGGTATGCACAATAATACGCGTATAGCATTCTTCGTATCGTTTTTTTTGTTGTTGCCATTTTAGTCTTCCGATCCTTAATATAAAACCTAATTGTTGAGTTAATTTTAATCATAAATATAAGACCTATTTGTCATATTTATCAATTTTTCCTAAATTACCTCTATGGATACTTCCTTAATCATAATCAAGTAGAAGAGGGATAGAGGATATTAAGGAAGATGATTATGGTGTTTTAGGAAAAACATGTCATATTTTTTATAATTAACTAACTTACCTAACTTCCTTAATCTACTCAAATTAGTTAAATATATCTTATATTAAGGACCGGAGGAGTATCAGTTTAATTTGTACAGTACTTAAGTACGACATATATATATGACAATTATTCGATCATGATTATGTCTTTTATAGAGTCTTCTAATAACACACGGCAGATTGGAGTATAAATGCTTTGTATAATTAACTGTTTGGGTTTTTTTCTTTTATGGGGTGAAACTGCTTGGGTATTTGCTACCAAGTTGTAGTTTTCAATGTATCCGTTTGTAGGGTCGGAAAGGTCTTGTGCAGCTGCATGGGAACAAAAGTACTCTCGTTATTTTATCTTTTATTATTTGGATATTTTATGTTCTTAGAATAAATCAACATACAATATGATAAGTAAAAGTCTAAAACGATGATTTGTTAATACACAATGCATTTGTTAATGTTGTTTAATAATTTGCGTTACTATATATATGTGTATGTCTGTGCAGTGGTACCCCACCCTCAAAGCCATGGCTGGAGCAAAAGGGGAGAAAGAGATAAAGGTTGTGATACAGCAGGTGGAAGAAGGGTTGGCGTTGCTGGAGGATGCACACAACAAGATCAGCAAAGGCAAGCCCTTCTTCGGCGGCGACCGTATCGGATACCTCGATATTGCATTTGGCTGCTTCTTGGGGTGGACGAGGGTGACGGAGACGGTCACCGGCACCGCGTTGATCGACGAGGCCAAGACGCCGGGGCTGGCCAAATGGGCTGAAAAGTTTTGTGAAGATGATGCTGTGAAACCTGTTATGCCCGAGACGAAGAAGCTTGTTGAGTTCTTCCATGTTATTCGTGCAAAATTTGGCGGTTCTGCTTGAATATTATTTATGATTCCTAGTATTTTCTTGAGAGTAATGTCGGAAATATTGAAAATAGCGTATGAGAACAATTACAATTTCAGATATTTGAGTTAGCTTGATGAGTTTGTAGGTGGCGAGGAGGTTTAGTCTCACTTAACCTTTTAAAACTATATTGGGGGTTTTGTACGTTCTTCTCAAGTTTATAAACAAACCTTCAACACAAGGGTTGACTGGCTGTTTGTTCAAGATTGTGTGTTTGACTGGCAATTTGCTCAAAATACATGTAATATTTTTATTGGCTGGACATTTCCGCTGTCTCATCCTAACCTGTGTTCTGCCCTAGTCAAATTAAAATATCTCGAACTGTACTTTTTATGAATGAGAGCGGTCGTTGGCAATTGGCATTGCCCTCTCACGACGGTAATCAACGCAAATAGGCCCACTTTGTTTTCACTTATTTTTGTTTTAAAAATATGATTAATTACTTTATAGGGAAAATGACAAAAAAATGATTGTTGAAATTTGAAATGACAAAATGGACATGCAAATAACTGAAATGACCAAATGGGTATGGGGTATCAATCTGGAATTTTGTCAATTCGGTAGAAAGACTAAAATGCCTTGAACCTCTTGAAGATATGAATTGGAAGAAAACAATAATATACCAGAAGAGAGAAAGAGCTGAGAAGACGAAGCTAGAGCAAGGGTCGAAATCTAGAAAGAGGGAAAAGGTAAGCAATTTTTCCGTTAAAACGCTAGTATCACCGATTTCTTGACTCGTTTTGTTGCTGCATGCTCGAATGGGATGGGTCTGTGAGTGTAGAGGGTTTGGATGAAGAATTTGACCAGCATGAGAGAGTGACGCGTCGAAAATGGAAAAATGGTGACAAACAGTAAGCATGAGGTGGTCAGTGTTGTTAAATTCATTAGTGAAATTGTAAAATCCTATATTTAAGTTGTTAATGGAGTAAGTGGGTGTGTGTGTGTTTTGGGTGTTTCGAAAGATAAATGAAATTGATTATTGGGGAACTAAAATATTGATTTATGCTTCGTTGTTGCAGGTTAGCAGGCTTTGATGACATCTAACATTGGGTCTAACATTGAGGAGTAATTTTTTTGGTGTAAATAGAATAACTTTTGAACCCTTAATTTTTTGGGAGAATAGTTGATAGAGAGGTTATCCTTTTTGTAAATGATGTTAACTGGGTAGGATATGTTTGTAATCTGAATGACAAGGAAACATTAGGTGGTGGTTTAATCTTAATGTTAACTTGTCATTTGAATACAAGTTATGTAACTTCTGTCATAGGCGTACTGGTTTTTGGTAAATATTATCACTTCAGTAGTCAATTCCATTATACATGTAGTAAAGTCTGAATGTTAATATAAATATTATGATGTTCTTCAGGTGTACTTGTATGCTATTTTGTCAACACATTTTACCATTTGCTTTTTGTCAACACATTTTACCATTTGCTTAATTCCTCCAAGGGAGATGGCGGTTGCCAATGGGCATGACGGAGTGGTTAATTTGATTACAAATGTTGTTATTCACATTACAAATTGTTATTATCATTATTAGGGTAGTGAGTGGCTATGGCATGTCATCTTACAAGCATGTGTGTGTGTTCATTGCTGCTGGGGCTATTAATGCTTGAGGTTGCGGGATTCAAGTTTTGGAAATTTAGAAGCTGATATAATGGTGTTCAGAGACTGTTTAATGAATCTGAATTATATATTAGCATGTTTTGAAAGTGAAAATAATTTACAGATTATATATTACTGCTAGTTGAAATGTTTTGAAAGTTAAAAGTTAATTCAATACTTGTAAAATATTTGTATATATATGAGTATGTGGGTTATTGCTTGTGAATTGATGCTTGTGAAATTAAAGTATCGAGGCATAAAACTGATTTTCCTTTCTTTTTTTTAAAAAAAAAACTGTTGGTTTGAGGATTGAAGAGCTCTAGAGATTAAAAACTGATTATGACATAATGATTTATGTCTCTAAGTGCTGAATTATGATTGTACTGTTTGAATCAGATTGTTTTCAAGCCTGTGAGCTCAAAGTAGGAGCTGAAAAATCAGTTTCAAGTTACTGAATTATGCATTCGTGTGGTGGCTAGTGAATCATGACCTTAATTCAAGACATGACAAACATTGAGCTTGTTTTCATCAAATGAAGCCACCACATTGACCAAAAGACAGCATCTGTGATAGTAGTAAAGATTATGTAAATTAAACATATAGTATTTGTGAAAGTAGTGTTCAGATATTATCAAAATACTTGACTTATGGTTGTAGGTTGTAAGTTATGATATTTGTTGGCTTAATTTAAATCTTTTTTGGAATAATTTAACTAAACAAGTAATGATAATTATAGCATGCATAATGAAAGTTGTAACTTCTGTCATGGCATTTGCAACTCAATTATTTGTACCCCAAATTACATCTATTTGGACCCAAATTTCACTACACACGTAATGGGATTAACAACATTCGTAATGAAAGTGACCACTTCCGTATTGCCATTTGCAACTCGTTTATTTTAAACCAAAGTAACATGTATTTGGAGCCAATTTCACTACTCCGATAATGATAATGACAACATTTGTAATATGAATTACAATTTTTGTAATGAGAGTTATCATCTCGCTATTGTCATTTGCAACTCGTTTATTTCAAACCCAAGTAATATATATTTGGAGCTAATTTCACACTCCCGATAATGATAATGACAAAATTTGTAATGTGAATTACAACTTTTGTAATGAGAGTTACCATTTCGCTATTGCCATTTGCAACTGGTTAATGTGAAATGAATTTAACATGTATTTGGAGCCAATTTTACTACCCTAATAATGATAATGATAATATCTGTAACGTGAATTACAACTTTTGTAATAAGAGTTACTATCTCGCTATTGCCATTTGTTAACTCATTTCTTTCAAACCCAAATAACATCTATTTTCAGCCAATTTCACTACCCCGATAATGATAATAACAACATTTGTAATGTGAATAACAGCATTTGTAATCAAATTAACCACTCCGGTCATGCCCATTGGCAACTTCCGCCATCTCCCTTGGAAGAATTAAGCAAATGGTAAAAATGTGTTGACAAAATAGCATACAAGTACACCTGAAGAACATCATAATATGTTTATATTAACATTCAGACTTTACTACATGTATAATGGAATTGACTACTGAAGTGATAATATTTACCAAAAACCAGTACGTTTATGACAGAAGTTACATAACTTGTATTCAAATGACAAGTTAACATTAAGATTAAACCACCACCTAATGTTTCCTTGTCATTCAGATTACAAACATATCCTACCCAGTTAACATCATTTACAAAAAGGATAACCTCTCTGTCAACTATTCTCCCAAAAAAATTAAGGGTTCAAAAGTTATTCTATTTACACCAAAAAAATTACTCCTCAATGTTAGACCCAATGTTAAATGTCATCAAAGCCTGCTAACCTGCAACAAATAAGCATAAATCAATATTTTAGTTCCCCAATAATCAATTTCATTTATCTTTCGAAACACCCAAAAAATACACACACCCACTTACTCCATTGACAACTTAAATATAGGATTTTACAATTTTACTAATGAATTTAATAACACTAACCACCTCATGCTTACTGTTTGTCACCATTTTTCCATTTCCAACATGTCACTCTCTCGTCCTGGTCAAATTCTTTATCCAAACCTTCTACACTCACAGACCCATCCCCATTCGAGCATACAGCAACAAAGCGAGTTAAGAAATCAGGTGATACTAGCGTTTTAACGGAAAAATTGCTTACCTTTTCCCTCTTTCCAGATTTCGACCCTTGCTCTAGCTTCGTCTTCTCAGCTCTCTCTCTCTTCTGGTATATTATTGTTTTCTTTGCGGTTCATATCTTCAGAGAGGTTTAGGGCATTTTAGTCTTTCTATCGAATTAACAAAATTCCAGATTGATACCCCATGCCCATTTGGTCATTTCAGTTATTTATATACTCATTTTGTCATTTCAAATTTCAACAGTCCTTTTTCGGTCATTTTCTCTACTTTATAAGTAATTTATAGTCTTTAAATTAGGGACTGTGTGTCATCAATTTTATAAACTTCAATTTTAATTTATCTTAACATTTAATGCTTATTTTTTAATATTGTCCTTAATTATTTCTCTCTTATCATTTTTTTCATATATTTTTTTATTTTTCTTCTCATTTATTATAAGGACATATTTTTAAAAAATATTTTTAATCTATTTATTATTTTTAACTAATTTTAACTAATTATTTATTATATATTCGTGAATTAGTTATTTGAAACTTATTTTAAAAATAAATTTTTTTTTTAGTGACTTAAAATAGAACTGAGCTCTAGCAAGTAATAAAAAGCACAAGTCCGTATTAGACCGGTGGCATTGCCATACGAAATTAGTGAATACAACTAATAGCAACAAGTATGCATTAAAGCGATGGCCTTGGTGCATCCCCCTCCACCACAAAAAGTCGCCGACCCTCTTCCACATTTACGTTCTGCCATTAATGACCCCACTCTCCTCTTTCATCCAACCATTAGACTCTTTTCACGCTATGATGCACCAACCTGCCAAACCGTTTCTGCAGGTTTTTAATTTCACAGCAGCCCTTGTATTTATATGTACCCCCTACCACAACCTGCCATGTCATTTGTAAATCTGTAACTCAAACACATTGATCGATCAGATATGTCGGAGGGAGAAAAAGTAGTGAAGCTTCTGGGTGCATGGCCGAGTCCCTTTGTGATGAGGCCTCGCATAGCTCTGAATATTAAGTCTGTGAGTTATGAGTTTCTTGAAGAGACTTTGGGATCCAAGAGCCAGCTTCTGCTTCAGTCCAATCCTGTTCATAAGAAAATCCCAGTTCTGATTCATGGAGATAAGCCTGTGTGCGAGTCTCTCATTATTGTTGAGTACGTCGACCAAGTCTTCTCTTCTGGTCCTTCTATTCTTCCTTCTGATCCCTACGATCGTTCCGTTGCTCGTTTCTGGGCTGCCTATCTTGACGACAAGGTACTTTTCTTCGTTAGGCTCACTCCGATTCTTAAGAGTTCCTTTGTTTACATTAGCTTTCTGGAAGTGATGCTGTGATGCGCATGTGAAAATAATTTTATCTCGATTTGTATGAAAATATATTTTTAAGTGCTTTTGGTGCGACCAAATTGGGGACTTGGGTAGAATAAAAAAAATAATTAAATTAATTATTTATAATAAATATGAATTAATTTTTAAAAAAAATTATATTTTTTTAATCATCACTATTCTTTGATAGAATCGTTTCATATGTGTAACTAATAAGAATATTTTGGAGAATGTATTATAATTTTAGAAAATAAAGTAGACTGAGATTTTATATTTAAAATCAAATTCAATTCAACTAACTTTAGTATTATATATTAAAAACCCCAAGTCATATAAGCATGGCCGTTGGGTGATGAAATTTGAAATATCAAGTTGAGAGAAAAGTAAATAAATATAATTGAAAATTTAATGCTATTAGGATGATTTTGTATATATACTAAGTCCTATTTATGAGATCTTGTTTGTAAACTATAAATAAAGTTTTGTAATTAGAAATGGATTTAGTACAAGTTGACAATGAAATTGTCGTGTCGTGTATGTAGTGGTTCCCTGCGATGAAAGCTATTGCTGGTGCAAGAGGAGACGAAGAGGGGAAGGCTCTGATACAGCAATTAGAGGAAGGATTAGCGTTAATGGAGAGTGCCTATCACAACATCAGCAAAGGCAAGCCCTTCTTTGGTGGTGACCGGGTCGGGTATCTGGATATTGCATTGGGGTGCTTCCTTGGGTGGCTGAGGGTAACCGAGTCGCATATTGGGCTCAAGTTGTTGGACCATACCAAGACACCGGGCCTCGCCCAATGGGCCGAAACATTCTGTGCGGATGATGCCGTTAAGCCCGTCATGCCTGAAACGGACAAGCTTCGCGAGTTCGCCAAGTTACTTATGGCTAAAACGGCATCAAACTAGTTGCGCTGCAGATCCATGCAATGGCTTGTGTCTCATTGTGTCTGTCGTTTTGCCTCGTCACTGAGGCTTTGGCTTTGTCTGCGTCTTGCCTCTCTTAATAAAATTTCCATTTATAATATTTCTTTCAATTCTAAACATAAAATATACTCCTCCGTCTTAAATATAAGACTCTTATATATTTAGCACCCGAGGAGTAGTTTGTAATGCAAATTAGAGTTGATATTTAAAACTATATTGGTAGTATTTTATCATAGTCTGGTTGTTTCATTTTCATTCTGCAGATATATCCATATCCTCCAAATAACAACAGCTTCATTGTGACTTAACACATGAATCTGAAGAATCCATAATGGGGAAGGGAGAGGAAGTGAGGCTTATACGGATCATTCGAGACTTATTTGAGGGATATTTTAAATTTGAGGTATTTAACTAATTAGAGACACAGTTGTGCTTTGGAAATAGTCAGTTGTTAGTGGAATGACTGAATTTGCGTCGTGAGTTGGGTATGGTGGTATTTTCCTCTAATGAATTCAACCTTGTTTAGAACGGGCATTGGAGCTTTCAAAAGTAATTTTTCTATTATGATTTATAGACATAATATGAAATAAGTATACGAAAAAAAATTTATTTTAACTTAATGTATTTGCAAATACTCATGAAAAATTGCTCCAACCAAGAATGGAAATCGATGTAAGGACTCAACCTCATGAGATGAGAGAGAGTTCAACAAAATCATTTGCTGAAATTATTACTTTTCGTTGACACAAATAAATTGAGCAATAAAAGATTCTCATTTAAGATTTTCTCCCTCTTAATTTACCCATCCATTGAAGCATTTTTAAAAAGTTTAAACTCATAATTTCTAAAGGCCTGACAATTCATATAAACCTCGTTTGGAATCATGATTATAAACATGTTTTATTATGTAAATCGAGATAAAATATTTTCTATGCATTTCTTCTTATAAGTCTTACCAAACGCGCCATATAAGATTGCAGGCTGTGCTTCTTATAATATCCTGAAATTTAAAAATTCTATGACCAAAGTTTCTAATATCAAGACGACATTGCTCAGGGAATTATTTTATCTTCTCGGAAATTGCAACATCACATGATGTTGGCCCTTCATGAATGCAGGTCAAGAAGAGCAGAAACAGATTATATATGGTAAAATAATATTTTTATCATTAAAATTACAAAGACATTTTTAATTCATTTATGTTATCAATCCGCCAACTAATGTCATTAGAGAATACCCATTCTTTTTATGTTTATTCTATGAGAATGACTTATTTTTTATTTTTAATAGTTTTCAAAAAATATTTGTTAATTACGCTCTGAAAATTCAAAATTGCCTTATATTATTAAACATACTATAATTTTAAATGGAAGAGATATGAATTATTGAATTAATGATTGTGCGATTGAAGGGGATCGTTGGATTATTTATTGTGTGTGTTTGATGTCACTTGACAAATAAAAAACCATTAATACCAATTAAATGCTTTCACCAATTATAAAATTACTATTGCGAAAAAGGTAATATTGTCTTCGCCGGTGATTATAAAATCAATGTTTATAAGTTATGTTGACCGATATTATTATCATATAATCAGACAGATGATCATTTCGCGATGAGAAGAGCCATTCTTTAATTCTCAGTGCATAAAATGAATTACTTTCATCGTCTTGATGATGCTTGGTGCATCGATAGGATCGCTGAGCTGGCCACGAAGCTAATGATATACCCAGACTCGTAATATTTGAAAATGACAAGGGAGAGTTAAAACTTCTTGTTTATATATTCTAACAAATGATTATGATCGAACCCACTTGGGTCCATCCTGATGGCAGGGAGTGAGCTGAAGCTTCTGGGCAGATGGTCGAGCCCTTTTTCGATGAGGGCGAAGATTGCTCTGAACATCAAATCACTTGAATTTGAATACTTCGAAGAGCACATGAACCCCAAGAGCGATCTTCTTCTTCAATCCAATCCAGTTTACGCCCTAATCCCAGTTCTTATCCACCGTGGCAAACCCATCTGCGAATCCCTCATTATTGTCGAATATATCGACGAGAATTGGTCCTCTGGCCCCTCCATCCTCCCCTCCGACGCTTATGATCGCTCAACCGCTCGATTCTGGGCTGCGTACATCGACCAGAAGGTAACAGAATTTAACTTTCCGAGAAAAGAAGTGTGTATTTTCCATCAATTTCTGGGTTTTCTGAATGAAATTTGTTTCTCTAATTGTGGTAGTGGTTTCCCTCAATGAAAAGCATCATAACTGTGGAAGATGAGGAGTCAAGAAAGCCATACTATGAGACAATGGACGAAGTGGTTGGGAGGATGGAGGATGCGTTTGGGAAAATCAGCAAAGGAAAACCCTTTTTTGGTGGAGACCAGATTGGATTCATTGACATTGCTTTTGGAAGCAATCTGGGCTGGCTCAGTGTTGTAGAAACTTTGTATGGACGAAAGTTTCTTGTAGAGGAAAAAGCTCCTTCTCTGGTGAAATGGGCTGAGAGATTTGCTGCTGATCCTGCTGTGAATGGTCTCATACCTGAAACTGATAAACTCATAGAGCTTGCCAAGTTCCTTCAGATCAAATGGAGAACTGCAATTGCCAAGAAGTAGAATTAACGGCTGTGTTTTGCTTGCTGGTGTAAAATGTAAATGCTCTTATGCTGTTGTTGTATGGCTAAATAAAATGGTGATACATTATTTAGGGTGCTTCTTACAAGTTTTTCTTGAATTTTCTTCTCTTTTGGGCTGCACTGTCATTTGTAGCAGCAAACAAGTGCTTTGGATTTGATTAGATGATTTCAGAGTCCAATGGTTGTCTTCTCTTGCTGCCAATTTGAAGAAATAACATACTAGTATCTCCTCAATGTACTTTTCATAACACTGCTTCATTACTTGAAATTCAAAATCTGAGTAATACTGGATTTTTTTCTCGGGTCATTTTCTGATATTTTAGGCTATTGTAGGCTCCAGATATTTGAGGGCATTGTGAATTATCCTAGCTGCAATATTCGCAAGAGCGTGGGGTTGAAAAACATCAAACTTGCAAGAATAGAAGACACTGATGAGTAGGAAAGTGCCATGCATATTCTCAGAGATTGCGCTTATGCTGAGCAGTTTTGGAGGCAGCTTATCAGTCCAAAGTATTACGCGCAATTCTTCAACTCTCCCTTGAAAAACTGGTTTGCTTTAAATCTGAAAAGAGACTTGGGTATACATGAAGATAGTAATTGGGATTTAAAATGGGCTGTCACTACCTGGAAATTATGGTTATGGAGGAATGAGATGGTGTTTGGCTCTGATTTTCAAAAGCCTCCTGATCAAGCAGTAGTCATTGAAAATAGCCGGGGAAATTATGTCATGATCCAGGATGATGCTAGAACAAACCTGTCTAATACAAGTGGGGGTTCCTGGAAACCTCCATACTTAGGTTGGATAAAAGTTAACGTGGATGGTGCTATGACTTCATCTTTGAGTAAAGCTGGGTAGGGGGGTGTTCTAAGAGACTGTAAAGGTATGTGGATAGTAGATTTCTCCTGTTTTCTCGGTAATTGCACTACCATCGAAGCTGATCAGTGGGCTATCTTCAAGGGTCTCAAACTTGCTTGGGATTTTGGATTCAAGAAGGTAATTCTAGAATCTGATTCAAAGAGTTCGATTGATATACATGTTCAAGAAGGAGCCGCGCACCAACTCAGAGAGCTTACTCTGCCTTCCAATACGAGAATACATGTCCTATGCTTGGGACCTTGAATTAAAATATATTCCAAGAGAGCAAGATCAGCTTGCTGATGCTTTGGCCAAGGGAGGTTTATCCAAATCTTCTCTTTTTGCTACCTGTCCTTCTCGTTTGAGGACCTTATTTGATGTTGAGTGTTTGGGATCAAGTTGTACTAGCTTGTATGGGCTCTAGCCCTCTTGTTTACCAAGGAAAAAAAAAGAAGAAAAAAGGAAGACACTGATGAGTAGGGGTGGTAACATAGGTCAAATTGTGGGTTGCAGGTTGACCCGTGACGCGTTAGGGTTAGGCGATGCGGGTTAAAAAGGCCTCGCATAATGAAAAGCCAACCTCCAACTAGTATTTTCTTCTTCTTTTTTTTTTTGAAATTTTTTTATTTTTTAAAATTTTTCTTTTCTAACAATTGATAATATAATTTCTTTCAATTCTTCATAACTTGTTTCCTCTTTTATAGTTGTTGTTCTTATACTACCTCCCACATATCTCATATCATCTTTTCCATCATTTATAAATTTTTCTCCTATATGAACAAAGTACAATAGATGCTTTCTAGGCATATTCACCATCAATAATATAAACCTGCATAAAAAATCACGCAACTGTTATTGACAAGTCAAGCAGCAACGTTGACAACTGTTGTGGCACATATTTGACAACTATCGTGGTTTGATTGACAACACAATATCCCATTTTGTACTAAAGGCTTCTACCCACCCTAACCTTCATCTTTTTCTTCTTTTGTCACTGAACTAACGCCAAAACAGAGCAAAATCACCCACAATACATCCAAAAATATGACACCCATAATTATCCTACAAACCCAACTTAAATCACTAACACACACTAACCAAAAACACAGTTTTTTCCTTGATTTACTTGTTCATCTTAGACAACAAAAAAATTTACAGTACTAAAGGCAAAAATGATTTTCTGATTTCTCATTCCCAAACATAATCAATCTATCGAGAAAAATGTTCCAAGAGAGGAGAGGAAAGAAATTTCTTGACTTGAAGATTTATGGAGATTCAAATGAAACTTCTTTGGAGTTTACTAATGATAATGGGGAAGATACTTTATTATTAATGGCTCCTTCCTTCTTTTTCCACGCCCTCTCTCTCAGTCATAACAGAGCCACACTGCGCGGGAAATTGACCTTAGCGTCTTCTGTTTCTGATATGGTAGGGCAATAAAATCATTTTAACTTTCTGAAAATTGCAGTCAAATCCCTTTGAGACTTTAGAAGAATTGTCACATTTCAAGAAATTTTTTTGTTGTATATTTACTTATGTGGGACTTTAATGTCATTTTTTCCGATAATTTTCCTACATAGACACATCATGCTTGTGTTGGCATCACAATTATTTCTCACATCCTGTGTTTTTCTTCTTCACAGTTTATGCTTATGGCAAACACTAACCTCACGCTTCTTGGTGGCTCTGGTTCAGTCCCTTCGTTTTGAGGGTTAAGATTGTCCTCAGCATCAAATCCCTGGAATATAATAATGTTGAAGAGACCTATCATAAAGCTCTCTATATGTAGAAAATATTTATTAAAAAAATTTAATAAAAAGAAGTATTTTTACATACCCAAATGATCCTTAGAGCTTATCACATACGGTGTAGCTCAACACGCTTGCCCTCTCTTTTCCTCTTTGCCTCTCGCTCTCTCTTTTTCTTCCGTCTATCACTTCTTCTCCCATTGATTCTTCCCACTCAACCGTCTTCCCTTCATTTTTCTTTCTTCATTTATTAACCACACTCTTCAAATTTCTTTCATCAATAAATGACTCCTTCTCCCAAATTCTTCTTCTTCTTAAATGCCCTCAAGCTTTTCCACTTAATTAGTATTTTTTTAAAATAAAATATTATTATTTTATAATATTAAAATATTATTATTTTGTTTTAATTATTTAAAAGAAAGAGAAGTGGGAAGGAGAGAGAGTGTGAGTTGGAGACAATAAATATGGGTAAAATAGGAAATCAACACAAAAAAGTAAAGACAACTTTTAAGTGTCTCTTATATATAGGAACATGCCATAAGCACCAAATGTCTCTTATAATAAGGAACGGAGGGAGTATTATTTTGTTTTATTTATTTAATTAATTTTTTATTTTTATTTTTTGAAATAATAATTTTTATATTAAAATAATATTTAAGACGTTACATTTTGAGTATAATATATTTGAGACTCTTATTATTACACACCAGACCATGATTTTCTACCCTTGAAAGCAAAAAAAAAAAGAAAAAAAAAGACTTTTTGGAAAATCATTATTTTCCATATCCAAATCATGGTTTTTCAATGTACAAGTGGTTTTGTGAAAAAAGTTACTTGTTTGGCTACTTTTTCCAAAATCGGTTTTTACTCCGAAATTAAGATTTTTTTTTTTTTTGGTGAAGCTCCCAAATTATGATTTTAATTTCTCTCTCGACGCACTCCCAAGAGTCGGATGAAGAGTTTTTGGTAAGCATTTTCACGTAAAACAAAATAAAATTCATTTTATGTACTTATTTTATACACTGTCTAAAAAAAATTTTTGACCATAAATTCTATTTTCTAATCTTATTTAAAATATTTAAACTTAATTTAAACAAATTATAATTTATTATATTTCTATTTTTAATTCTTGAAGTAAAAAAATTAAAAAAACGATAATTTTTATTAAAAAGTTACTAAAATTTGTTCAAATCATCAGGATGAAATACTGAAACAAAAAGTATTACTTCCAGTTCTTAATATAAGAGCTAGTTAATTAATTTGAGTAGACTAAAAAAATTAGTTAAGTTAATTATTTATAATAAATAAGAGTTGTTTTTCCTAAAATATTCTTACTAATTAAGTATATTGGTTAGAACTATTATTATTATAATGACTATTTTGCAAAAAAAAGATAAATATAAAAGATAAAATAAATTTGGATTATATATTTAATATTAAAATAAAAATCAAATAAATTTTTATATTAATTATATTAAGGACCGGGGTAATACTGCAAGTAAAATGCCCAAGTTTTATCCGGAAAATGAGTGGCAGAGACTATTGGACTGTTGTCGGCCCTTATTCCGTTCGGCGAAGGCTGCTCAGTCAATTAATACTCTTCCGTCTTTTATTATAAACAATATAAGACTCTATTATATAGATTAAAAAATTAATTAAAGATAATAAGTAGGTAAAAATAGAAATTCTTTTACCAAAATATGGAGAGAGTATTAAAAAAATAAAAAATTTATTATCTTAAAAAGAATTATTAAAAAAATGTGTAATGAAGAGAGATAATAATTTAAAAAATAAAACAATAAATACATTAAACATTAAATAATTAGTGGAGCAAAATAAAAAATTTGTTATAAAAATTTAAGAACACAAACGTTGTTTGTATCTAAATACAAGAAATGATAATTATAGTTTATCGCTTTCAATCAAAAGCAAGGTCGGTGTTGAATTTGGTGGTTCCCACTTTACCAGTTTTCCTACATAAACACCTCACGCTTGCTTGTACTAGTATCAGCTTCACAATTATTTCTCACATCCTGTGTTTTTCTTATACTAGCTACTCATGGCAAACACTAACCTCAAGCTTCTGAGTGGATGGTTCAGTCCATTCGTTTTGAGGGTTAAGATTGCCCTCAACATCAAATCTCTGGAATATGAAAACATTGAAGAGACCTGGAACCCAAAAAGCCGGCTTCTTCTCCAGTCAAATCCTGTTCAGCAGAAAATCCCGGTCCTCCTTCACGGAGACAAACCCATCTGTGAATCTAGAATCATCGTCGAATACATAGACGAGGTTTGGAACTCCGGTCCCTCCATCCTACCTGCAGATGCTTACGATCGAGCCATGGCTCGTTTCTGGGCTGCCTACATCGATGACAAGGTATCAAACGATTAATTTCTCTTCATACTTTATCTTTACTGCTATTCCGATCCCTTTTGGTTAATGCTAATGAGTTTCACTGGGGATAGTGTTCTGCGGCCATGAGAAATGTTCTCGGTGAAGAAGACGAAGAAGCAAGGAAGTCATACTTGGAGGAAGTAGAAGATGTGCTTGTGACAATGGAAGGTGAGTTGCAGAAATGTTGCAGAGAAGAAAGAAAGGGATTTTTTGGAGGAGAAGAAATTGGGTTGGTTGATATTACTTTTGGAAGCTTGCTGCGTTGGTTGAGTGCGA